CTCTGCCACGCTGCCCTGCAGCTCTGCTCCCTGCCCAGTGACACCAGGATGGAGCCAGGCAGAGGGTCAGCCATGAGCTGACAATCTCCTTGTACATCATCAGGGAGAAACCCATTGGAATTGCTCTGGCAACCTGCCTTTGGGGTGAAACGTGATTTACACAATTTCCCCTTCTTTTATGGTTGTTTCTCACTGTAATCGTAAAAAAGGTCTTATAAAAACATTTGTCCTAGGGAATGTTTGGCGATGCAGCAGCGTGTTTGCAAATCGTTCAGTGTCTAAATACATCAGCAACCCATCTCTGCAAGTCATCACTGCAATCAAACTGCTCCTCTTTCTCTTGACTATAAATGGTCTTTGCTGAGGACAGGTTTGAAGAGTGAGGAAGCACTCCCTCGAGCTGATGCACTGGGAAGAGGAGAGTCCACATGAACAGGACCATTTCTAGAGCGCAGATCTCCGAGGAGGGGAGAGGACTGGGTTTGATCCTCACCTCTTTCCATGGTTTTGCTCCAGCTTTTGGATCTTGATACAATAAACTGCTTTAGTCCTTGAACTCTGGCACATGCACTGTCCCACTGACACTAGAGACTTTAGCTCAGTGCTGAGCTTAAACTCAGGGCCAGAACTGGGGCAGGTCCCTAGCCCCTCACCACACAGGATTAAACAGCCCATTTCCTCCATGGGCCCTGTCCTTTTTGCACCATGGTTGCTCTTTCTGAGGGGTGGTGAGGGGGACACAACCTGTCTGAAGTGTTAGGAAAATCCCATCCTTCCAGTAACCCTCTAAAGCACAATTACCAAGTCAATCGAGAGCTGGAGCGTTATGACCTTCTCCCCAGCAGAGCAGAAGGTTAAATTTATGAGCAAGCCTTTGATGCTTGCAAGCTTCACGTGGTACAAAACCTTCTGCTTTGATGTTCCTTTTAAAAGAGAGGAAACTCAAGGTGCACAGTACATGAGCCTCAGGGAGCACCCGGATCCAGCCACCCACAACTACAGGCACAAGGACCGAGTTCTGATGCAGCTGCTTTTGCTTAAGGCTTGGCTGCAACAGAGTGAAAATGTGACCAAACACATCACACCCACACCAAACCCACCTTTGCTCTGCCGGTAGAGAACCAGGTACTCACAGCCCTGAGTATTCCCATGGGAGCTCCAGACCGGACCTCAAAGGTGAGGAGGACCCTGCCCTTTCCCATCTCTCAGACCCAGGCTGTGCTGGTCCCTCTCTCCCCAGTGACCACCAGCCATGGCTGGGAAATTCCCCCACTTAAGGGCCATGGGAGAGGTAAGGAAGCCCATTGCTCTACCCCTCCTGCGTAGGTTCTCCATTGGGTTCCACACCAGCATCCTGCACAGCAGCAGCAGGAATGCCTAAGCCACGCAGAGGGACCTTCCGCAGGCCCTGGCACGCCTCCTACCTTACGCAGCAGCTGGGCCATGGCTTCTCCCATCCATCCCAGCATCCCTACGGCTCTGCCAACAGGTTGAGCCCTTCTCCCAGGGTCCAACAGAGCTGCCAGCAGGGTCAGGCTCCTCTCCATCCCAAGCTCACTTCGCCTCCTTTTCCCTCTCCCACCTCCTCCCATGGGGAGTTTCCCAGCAGCTCAGTAATTAGCATCATCATCACCACCACTGCTAATAACACCACCACAGCTCCTGCCATCCGAAGCTCAAACAGCTTTACAGCCATCATCACGCCTCTGTAACCTCCCCAGGGTAGGCAGGGAAGCAGCATTACCCCACCACACAGACGGGGAAGAGGGAGGTAAACAAGAGGCAGAGATGGGCAGCGAACCCGGGAGCTCTGACTCAGGCACCGCACCCGCAGGACCTCCCTGCGCCAGAGACCTGCTGCTGCACAAGGGCCCTCTGCAAGGAGGTCGGTGGCTGTGCTGGCAGCAGGACTCATCCAGGGATTACAACACCGGGCTTGGGGCCTGCGAGTCCTGGGATGAGGTTTTTTTCCCGGGCATCCCGGCACACAGCCTCAGTGTCCCCCTGCAAAAAGACCGTGGGAGAGGAGCGCGCAGGACCGCGCGTGCAGTCTGAGGTGGGACAGCAGCTATTGTGGCATCCCAGATCAGTCGCTAGACCTCACCTCTAATTAAGGACTCGCTGTTTACTGATGGGTTAAAGAGGATTTTTGCTTTGAACATTCACAAAATGAGGGATCGGGGGGATTCTGGTCTCAGCCTGACCAGAGACAGCTTCTCTCCATCCTGCTTGGGGTTTGCTACATTTCATTAAAAAGTTTCCCATGGATGGGGATTACAGCACCCCCAGTCCCCTACAACAGACTGGCACAGCCCAGCCAGCCCCAACAGACAGGGACAAAAGCAGAACTCAAGGCAATGGGCTGCTTTGCTTTTGGCAAGACAACCTTGACTTTAACTGTTCTGGCCTATGCTACAAGCTCAGGCTGGCCCAAGTGCCAGCTGAGCACCAGCACAAACCAGGATTCACCTGAACATCCACCTACAATGAGCACGAGCCCTATACACAAGCTGTGTAACTCTGGAAAGCTACTGGCCTGCAGGAAACCCAATAAACCACTCGTCACTGTCATTTTGATGGGATGTGGACAATGGTCCATTAGATATCAAATAAGGGGCATACTTTAAGACACAAGACAAGCAGTTACCCTTCTCTTCCAGCCACTGCAGTGTGCACTGATCTATTCTTTTTGGGCACAAACCGAGACGTTCAGTCTCTGCAAGGAGGAAGATGTCACTTTTTTCCACACACTGCTGCTCCGTGCATCCTGCTGAATTCACTCCGCTCTGTTCCAATCCTGGGTGCACCAGGAGTGCCTGGGAACTGAACTGAAAATGGACTCCCAGGGCTCAGCTCCCAAATCCAGAGCAAGTGGGGAGCTAACACACACACACACACACACACAGAGCAAAGTCAGGGCACACATGGAAAAGGCCTCAGAACAGGCAGGCACAGCACATGACTGCAGGAGCCAGGTGGAGCCTGAACCTCCCCTGGGTACCCTATGAGTCCCTGCTGGGTGCTCACCCATCCCCTAAAGGAGGGGAGGAGCAGCACATCCCTCCCCTGCTCACACAATTCCATCAGTCAGGAGCAGCACAACCCCCAGAGGCACCTCCTGCCACTGGCTTTGTGTGTCCGTGCCTTCACTTGCTCTTTCATGGACATTCACCAAACCCCATGTGTACTCTCACGAGGTCACTGGTGGTTGGCAGAGTCCCATGGGGCTTTTTCTTAGACACAGCCTATGTGCTCACAGCTACACCCCGAGGAATGCTTTTTGCCTTGCTCTTGACAGAGTGTGGCTTTTGTTTGGCTCCTGGCTGAACGTCTGAGTTAAAAATACAAGGCTATTTTTGGCAGAAGTGGGTTTTTTTTTCTGCCTCTCTATTGCCTTGCATGCCCCCATGCTGCTGTCTCCCTTCTGGATCAGATGAGCTTTGTTTTCCTTCTCAATGATCATGTTTGCACCGGTGAGCAGTAGGAAATGCTTTTCCTATTAGACCATTTCCATAAGCACCGTTGGGAATGAAGAATGAACTTAGAGAAGTCTAAAAAAACCCAGCTGGTGTAAAGATCCTGTTCTCCAGTGAATGGAGAACTGAAAATCAGGAATGCCTGTGGTCAGAGGGATATGTACATACGACATGCACACAGGAACAGCAGGGCACGTTCGCTCTGTGATCCTCAGACCAGGAACAAAGGACTGAATGCTTGAAGCATCCCCACTCTACAGACAGGCTTCATCCCAAGCTCTGCAGCTCAGACCCTTTCTTACGCAGCATGAAAATAGTTTATTTTGCTTTTAAATGCCAGGAAAAAAATAGGCCTCTCTTTCCTGGCTTGGATTTATTCCATCCGGAGTCTTTGCATGATCGCAGCGCTGTGATACTGTTACAGTCTCAGGATAAAGCAAGAGCCCAAGTACCCTCAAGCACCCATGCAATCATTAAATCTTTGTTGTTATGCTCCATATCTCCTGGCAACGCCAAGCTGAGGACTTGGGTCTTCTCACTTGAGATCACCACCCTCTGATGTCTCAAAATCCCCTCCCATAAGCCAGACACATGCCATCCTCTGTGGGTGTGATCCCCGTCTCCAGGACTGAGAACAAAACCAACACAGCTGCATGAACCCTCCCCAGCACATTGTATTTGTGTGTCACAACATAAACATCAACACAACCAGAAGATAGCAGCCTAACAAAGAGCTAAAGACATCAGAAAGGCCCATGGAGAGCTTTCCAGGACACGGATCCCCACCACCTTCAGAGGAGCCAAGCACAGACTGAGTCAGAGCTCTCCAACACCAGCACAGGATTTGCTGCATGCCAGTAACCCACAAAACACTGACACTGGGGCCAGCTCCTGCTCTTCAGGAAGCACGCTCCACCTAACTTGCTTCCAAAGAGAAGCTCCTAGACAATGCTTTTCATCATCTCTCCCTAATGATCGATGAATTCAAAGAGCCCACTCTGCCCATTGCCACTCCGGAGACCATCAATGCGATCAGGACATGAGAGAGAACAGTTCCTAAGGTCCCAGATTTGGCAATGGCAAGCAGCATTTTTGGTTGTTCGTCAAAAAAACTGGAAAGGGTTTTGTGTCTTGAAAGCAACAAGCCCGCCCCTCATAGCCCCCAGAGGGCTGCTCAAGTCAGGCTCCACAAAGCAAGGGATCCCAATTGCTGTGTGTTTTTGGAATTGGAGTCATCACATCCTGAGAGCCCCATACTCAGGAAAACTCGGGTCTAGACTCCCGTCCCTCAGGAGGTTACAAATACCACCATTAAATATCAAGCTCTCATAAACTAGCTCATGATGGAGGCTCAAAAAAGCAGAATTTGTCCATAGTTGCCCAACAGTCACCAGTAGAGCTAGATGCAGGCTCTGTTTTCCAGCCACAGCACTACCCCCAGAGCAGATTAGAAATGAGGCTAAGAACCAACACACTGTAACAAACTCCCAGATCAGTACTAAAGGAAAAGCATCATCTTCCTACCGACTGAGAGACCTGGACTCGGACTTCGCTGGCATGCAGTGGTGATGTACTTGGCCCCTGGGGCTTCCTCTCCGAGCTGGAGTGGTGCTCCCGGTATTTCTTTGACCTCGCAGGCAACGACGAGAACTCTTTCCCTGAGATCTTCAGGTCTCCCACATGATGGCTGTCCCCATTCTGGTCCTTGGGAAAGCAAGAAACAGTCATTGCACAAATTGCCTGGCTCTGGTTTCTGTGGAGATCTGTTGGCAAGTATCCACAGAACAGGAGACAGAAGCAAGGAGTTAATGCGGAGTTCGGGTGGTGCGAGCTGCCACTCCTCATGAGCTGGGTTGAGTGAGGATATTTTGTCTATCCCTACAGCACATGGTTTTAGTGAGGGGAGAGGAAGCATCACCCAAGCAACACACAGCAGTCATCTTCTCCACAAGGAGAAGTCAGGGAGAAGTAGCATCCTCTTAAAACCCCAGGTATACAGGCAGAATCATATGGTTTATTTATGGGCATGGGGAATGATGGATGAAAGGTCCAGAAGCAGTCACTGCTGCTAGTGATTTCTGGCAACCACACGCAAAAACCTCTTCCAAGCAGTGGCAAGCTCATCTTGCCCAGGATACCAAGCCCTTGGCACAAGTCCCTCCACTTGCTGCACCTTCAGTCCTTCCCAGTGCCCAGCCATGCAGCAGCCTACACCAAGCCATGGATAACCCAACCATGCCGCAGGGAACACAGCTTTCCTGGATGCTCCCCAGCATTTCCCACCTCTAGGAGGTGGCTCCCGGCACAGACGAAGCATTTTCTGCCTCAGCATCTCCCACTGTTTTCAGCAAGTAAGGCCTTTACCCAACAGCTTCCTAAAAGGCAGATTAACATGAATGGTTGGAGTCCCATTCTGCTCTTTCTCATGCTACCAGAAGCACGTGGGGGCTGCAGGCTAACATGACTAACTGCAGCAGACAGTTACAAGCCATCCCCTGTTCTCTCACTGCTGTCCTCCTTTGCTCCCGGAAATGCCTGTGCTCAGTGCTCCCATGGACATGAAACACAGGATGATCATCCCTGTGTAAGGCATGAGGAAAGTGAGATGGCAGAGGCTGCATGTTTCCTGAAGCCTTTGTCCCTTCTCACTGCAGCCCCTTTTCGAGGCCCTGCCCCATGCCTGGCTCTCCCATTCTCACCCCCTTCCCATAAGGCATGCACAACTCTATCCCTTCTCTGTCAAAAGACTCAAGTTTAATGGCCCTGCCTGTATTATCATAACGGCCTCATTACTGCTGTCAGGCAGATGAGGCCCTGCTACAGAAGCACCAGGAGTACTCAGCATTTAGCTCCAACCACACTTACTAAAGGCACGAGCCACTTTAACTGGTGGGAGCTGAGTGCCTAAACCTGCTTGATGCTCTGGGCTTTAGTGCTTCCAGGCTGCAAACCACCCCGTTATCATACATAAAGCACTGAGGGGATGCCCCAGGGTGTCCTCACTGCAGCAACTACAAACAGGAGAAAGCAGCCCAGGAGATGACCCAATGGCCCATGGAGTTGGGATTTAAGGGCACACAGACCAAAGAGCCAACAATACTGAACAGGATCTGAAGTCACAGCACATCACCAGCACACTCAGATGATGTAGCCAAAATGGCTTTTCCATTCCTTGCAATACAAACAGGAATACCAAGAAGGAGTAAGGAGAGATTAATTCCCCTGAATGCTATTGATGGGACCAACTGCAGCCAGGCTGGCATCAGCATTTTGAAAAGCAACTACAGAAGTGGATTTCAGAACTGGAAAGAAACTGCCTTACAAAGCCCTTACTGCCTTAGAGCCTCAGACCACTTAGTTCTTGACAAAAAGAATAGATGACTCAATTACAGCAAGCAGAACCTTCAGGGTAAAAGCCAGCATGTGATGAAGAGATTTTTAGGCTCGTAGAGAGAGGAATAAACAAGAACCAACGGCTGTGAGCTAAAACCAGAGAAGCTCAAAACAAGGAATAAGGCACAGGTTGCAGAAGAATGATCAGGGAAGCAGCGGTCCTGCTGTCTGATGTGACACTCAGAACAGACGTGGGTGCTTCTGGAGATACATTGCCCAGACACTGCTCTGTGCGGGGGCATTGGGCAAGGATTCCTGGCCTGAGTGATTATGGGATTCCCTGAGGACTTCGAAGGCTGTCTCTGGCACAGACAATGGGCAAAGGGTAAGGCGATAATGAGGGTGCTGGATTGATCGCAGTTCAATCCGCTGATTCCTCACCATTGCAAGCTTGAAGCCAACAGCCCTCTCCCATGACTGTAATCACCCTTCCTGGGAGCTGCAGTGGGACAGAGGGAGTGGAACTGCATCCAAAGCACTTTCACAAGGAGAGGTGAACCTGCACGCACCCCACAGGACCACTGCAGGGGGAAGAGGACTACTCATGTCTGACTCCAGAGTACCCAGCCCCGTTTGCTCCATCCTCCCTGTGAAACCCCTGAAATCCCATAACCCTGCCTGAACTACTGAACGAGCTTCAGCTTTTACAGCAAAGAGTAGGAAAGCAACAGCATTGACAGCAAATCACACATCAGCAAAACTCTCCCTGCCAGTCCTGGGGCCGTGCTGCTGCGATGAGGATACATAGTCAAATGCCTCTCTGGCACCGGGTATCACTGTCCCTGCCACTATCAGCACCCTGGAGCTGGAGTCAATGGGTTAAAGCAGGTCAGAGCCAAAATGGCCAACAGGCAGTTGGGAGAATTAGCAAAAATGTATAAATATGTTTGGCATTTAGCTCCCAAAAAGAGTCAATTCAGGGAGGAGCTTTTGTCTGGCCCTCCCAGTGCTTACTGGGAGGTTTAGGCACTCAAACAGGTTTGCAGGCTTGAGGCTGTTTCCCATTGACTGCACCTTCCTGCAACTTGGGCATGTTTTCCTCTCTGCAACACTCCTGTACGAGGGAACCTCTCCCTGGACACTGGGGAGAGCTGTGCCTGGAAAGCACTGCATGAAGGAACACGGTTTGTGCCAAAGCCATTCCCGAAAGGCAGAGCACGGCTGCCTGCCTGGCCACCTTCTCTGGGAAAGAGCATGAGCAAGCCCCATGGCAATGGGCACACGCAGTGATCTGTGCAGGATTTCCTGAGAAGTTCAATCAATCCCGGGGGGTGGAAAGGCTCAAAGCATCCACTGTGGAAACAGCCTTTGCCTTGGGGACACTGAGGAAACGCTGAGCTGGTGGGTCTGACATTGCCAGCACTGAACCGGAGCAGGGGCAATCCTTAGAGCCCCTTGGAGCAAACCCCTCTGCCTCCTGCAACACACCAGCTCCTGCCCTCTCCTTCCCCATCTGCTCCCAGTGCAGCTCTCTGCTGGGGTAATAAGGCACTGAGATTTGCCACCAGCCACTAAAGGGGCTAAAATGCTAACAATTATCCTCTCAATGAAGGGCTGGGTTTGCAAAAAAGCACAGAAGTGGCTTTTTCAGCTCTCAGTTAAGTGCCTTTTCAGTCAGACCAGCTGTTCCTCTCCTCCAAGCTCTCTAGAAACTCTCTTTGGTTAATCCCATTGACTCCAATGATATCTGCTAATTGCATACTTCCCTGCAAATGAAGCCAGTCAACAAGCCATTACAGATTCCTACTGATACTTCATCTTTGAGGCCAGACATCTTTGCTTACCTTTTCAGAAGGGAACTTCAGGAGGTCTAAGCTGTCCATGCTGTTCCTTTGGAGTCTCTTTGGCCTGGCTCCTGCAAAACAATGCACTCTCGCATCAGGAGGGTGTCACGCACTGGCAGCACTAATGTCACACAGACAAAATCCAACGCAGAATGCTCTGCTCCTGTTAACTACAAAGGCAAAGGGATGGGATGCTGCAGCTGTGCCCTCCTTGAGGCTCACATGTGGGGGGCTTCTCTACTGCTTTGGGTCTATCACAGCACAGTCAGCAGCAGTGAGGGCGGTGGGAAGCTTGTGCTATCAGACCAGTACGGGGGTCACACTGCAACCCTCATCTCCAGGGAGGCCTCTGGAATTCAGGAGTTACAAACCCCACTCTAAACCACAAAAGTCATGAGACTGGCATGGCAGAATGAGAACAAAGCCATAGTTTAATACTTCGGTGCATTTGTTGCTTCATGTTTCTAACTTAAAGAGTGTATCTGGGATGCAGCTTTGAGCTTTTCTCTACAGTCACAAGGGCTAGAAAAGGAAGTGAAGGGGCAAATATTTTCTATCATAGGTTCAGCCTTAAGAGAAGCAAAACCTTGCCCTGAACCTGACAGAGAAATCCAAATTTGGCAGCATTCATGATAGCTGTTTGAGATTTCATTCCAGCAATAACAGAGTGGGTGAAACACCACTCAGTTCGGACCCCTGCTTGCTAAGCTCTCCTTTACATCCCTGTCCCCCTCCAACCTGCTTCCAGCTGCTGCTGCCTTGCTCACTAACGGCCAGGGTTACAAAATGCTCCTAGGATGTCTTTACCATGTCCTTACCACTTTGCCCCTCCTTCCCTGATCTTCCTGGAAGGTTCCCTTTAGCTGAGCACCACACGATGCCCAGAGGCAGCAACCAAACCTGTCCCCTCAAGGTCCCATGAGAACTTCCAAGCTTCAGGGGAAGCCCTGGGGGAGGGTGAATGAATGCATGCGAATTGAAACCCATCACCCTGAGAACGGAAACCACGGAGCTTTGTGTGGTTCCTGCAACAGCAAACTCACCAAACCTAAAGATTCCCCCGTTCCCAGCACCACCTGGCAGCACCACTGCTTACACTACAGCAGCACCCAGAGACCCTGTTCTCACCGTGGTGCCACCGAGTGCTCACTGGACAAACTTGATGAGAGGGAAAGCACAGCGTTCAGAAACCAAGTCAAGCCTGTACACAGAACATGGGGATTAGGTGGAAAAGCCACCAGCTAGCAGACACCGCTGATTCGGAAAGTTCAACTTTGCTCAGCTTCATGAGGCACGAGACAAGCTCAGATCAGCTGGGACTTCACTAAAGTCCATGCACATATATCACATCTTAGCTATAAATGACCTAAAGTTCATTTCATTGCCCCTCACTCCCCTAAAGTGATTTATTTTTGCAGCCATAAAGACTCAGATCAGCAAAACAATTACCAGGCTTTGGGTTCAGAAGGGACTGACATCAGGCCCAGAACAGGCATGGATGTGAATACACAGAGAGCAAGGAAAACCCAACGACAAGCAGCCATCATTTCTTCCAAACTCTCCCCCTTTCCACAAGGCAAAGCCAGTTGCTCACTTGGCAGCAGTTCAGTAACAACAGGATCTCATTCTGGAAGGTCAGCAATTGCTGCTGACATTGGCGAGGGTTCAGACATGGGGCTGCATCCCTTTGGAGCAGGCAGGAAGAAAGGACTTTGCTGCCCTCCACAAAGCACGCAGAACTCTTCACCATTCTTATTTCAGTCTTATTTTCACTATGATCTTGTATAAGGTATCTTATGTTTATGAACCTATCTTAAGAATCTCCTTGGAACAGGTTGGGCAGGGCTCATGCTGTTAGACACCAATGAAAGGTCTGGGTTATTTGGTAGCTGAGCACATCCATCACCACAGCCTGGATGTGCACTCAGCCATGAAGACAGCTGAGACGATCAAGCCCAATCCCCCTCCCACCATAAAATGGGGAGAGCTGCACCCCTCTCAGTGGCCAGACACAACCCACCGCCCTGCCAGAGACACTGCTTCACTCTGGACAGGACTCCCCTTCCATGCCCTAAATGCCACTCAAGATTACACTCCTCCAAGGCATCAGTGATGCGTGTTTTCAGCTGAGAGGACCCAGAGCTCTTAAACAGAGGCCAGCTTAGTGGGAGACACAAGCCCTACACCCAGCTTCCATCACTCCCCTGCACTCCCTGTGGGCATCAGCACATTCTGGACATGGCTATAGCTGCTCTTGGCTTCCCACAGGATAACCTAGAGTCTTCTGTGTGGAGCAGTGAGGTGGGTCAGGAATAAAAGCCGCCTACAAGCACTCCATCAGCTGCTACACTTGGGTTTCAAAGCAATGCCCAAGAGGTGAAACCAGCACCTGGAAGTGAGCGTGCGTCACAGCAGCTTTTAACAGCCACTTCCAGGAAAGCAAGAAAGGAGCCAAACGTGTCTGATGAGATAAACACCCATCATTGCCACCGGGCTAAAGGTCCTTAATTACACACCTCCATCCTCAGGTGCTTCTCTGCGTTTGCAATAGCATTAAACTGCTGGCCAGAAAGCATTAATCTCTGATCTGAGAAAACCTGCCTTCCCCTCTGCTAATTTAATAACGCAGTCAGCTGAGACTGCCCCGGCAATTAGGGCACACAGAACAATTTGTCTTCGCTTGTTTTGGTGCTGGTGCTCCTCTGTTACCGTGTGGATTCCACGTTCAGTTACGCTGAGAGGGGAAGAAGGCAGGAGTTTCAAACCCAACTTCAGAGCCACCCAACTCATGAAACCATAGAACCATCAACTCAGCTATTTTCTTCCCAAAGACGACACAAGCGGCACTGGGGCTGAGCGCTGGCCCCACAGAGCCCCCGGCTCTGCCATCCCGCTGGTGGAGCATGCAGCACCATTCAAACAAGCAGCTAGAAGGATTAAGAGGGTACCATCAGTCAGGGCTATGGTAACCCAGATCCCCCCAGGCAGCAGTTCCTACTGGATGCCTGGAGCTTCTCCCCTTTACTCCACGCAGACGGGCTCGGTAGCCTCCACGCACTCATCTTCCGAGAGCAGAGGGATTTCCATACTCACAAGCACCCCACGACAGAAGGAATTCCATTAACTTTCTGTCTCTGACCAGGACATTCCCTCAGAGGGCTCCGGACAGAACTTCCAGCCTCCTCCGAGTTCTTTTTCCCAGAGATACCTGCAGCACTGCCCAATCCTCAGCAAAAATTCAACTCTGCCCCTTTCGCCCCAGTGCAGATCAAGAGCAGCAGCCGTGGATGCAACAGATTGAGCAGCTGAAAACCCGGGTCTGTTCCTCTGCAAGGTTTTTTCCTCCCTTTCCAGTATTTATTGGCATGTTTACCAAGCTCGCTGCAGAGCAACGGAAAACCTCAGGGGCATTTCTAAATGCTCTCTCTGTCTTTAAGGTTTACTGAGGTCTCTAATAGGGCGAGTTGAAACCTTCTTGTGAACATCAGCTGAGCAACGCTCCTGACTGGCTGCATTCATGCCTTGTTTTCCTGCAGCTCCTCGGGTGTTGTTCTTTTAAATCGTTTTTTTCAACAATCTCCCCCCCCCAAGCTCAACACCCCCATGATCCGGGGGGGAGGTATTTCTACTGTTGGTGCTGAGGTGCCTCTAACGGTTCTCACATTCTTGTGATTTAAAACTGGATGAAGCAGTCACCTCCCTCCCTGAAAGGGAGCAGTGGACTCCAGGGAGGGGGAAGCGCACTGCTACAGAGCTACGGGTGATGTATGTGCTGGCCTGCCTGCAGGTGAGACACCCCTGCTTTCTCCACCTCACACATTCCCTATTCTGTCTTTGGGACACTAACCCAACATATCCATGTCAGACACCCATCTAGACCCATCCACTTTGTCACAGAGATAGGGATGGCCCCTCTGCACATCCTTGTGCTACCTGTGATGACATGGATGCAGGGACCGTTATTTAACGCCTCTTTTCATGTCCAGATGTTTGGCAGTGCATGCTCTGTACCTTCCTTGGGCTTTTTAAGCTCATTTTAAGCAGAGCTGCGCCAGGTCCTTCATGGAATCATAGAATAGTTAGGGTTGGAAAGGACCTTAAGATCATCCAGTTCCAACCCCCCTGCCATGGGCAGGGACACCTCACATTAAACCATGGCACCCAAGGCCTTGTCCAATCTGGTCTTGAACACAGCCAGAGATGGAGCATTCACAACCTCCCTGGGCAACCCATTCCAGTGCCTCACCACCCTAACAGGAAATAATTTCCTCCTTAGATCCAATCTAAACTTCCTCTGTTTCAGTTTTAACCTGTTACCCCTTGTCCTATCACTACAGTCCCTAATGAAGAGTCCCTCCCCAGCATCCCTATAGGCCCCCTTCAGACATGGCACACACAGCAAGCACAGCATCTTCCCCCCATTCTTCTCCTGTTCCCTTGGGATGTGTCCCCAGCTCCATACTGCCAGGATCAGTATGGTCTCTGGAGGAAAGAGAAACCTTGAAAACCAAGGGAAGTCTTTGGTTTTCAAAGTGCAATTACAGGAGAAACACTCACATAACAGAAGTTAACAGTACCTTGCTACAAAGCGTGATGTAGCCACAGAAAAGACAGGGAAGTGTTTTATCAGAGGATAATGATGGGATCACGCCCTGTACATTTGCAGTAGAGCAAAGCTGGGTAGACAGTGTGAGCAGCTTTGTTCTCTGTGGACAGTCTCCATATCTAAGCAGTGCTCCCGAGATTGCAGTTGACAAGATCGAGCAGAGAACGTGTAGCAGCGACTCAGGGAGCCCTGCCAGGAGCTCTCATCAAGCTGACATGCGCTTTGATAACTCCGAGGCTCTCCCCCATCTCCAGCAGCTTGGAGAGCTGCCTACTCCATCCCTGCTTGAGACAAAGCGAATCCCCCCCCCCCCAAGTGCAGATCAAGCGACAGTTCTATTTGCAGGCTGGGAACACGCTGTATCCCTCTGGGGTGGCTGTACAGGAGGAAGCAGAATTAAACCTGACAGTGGACTCCAAAGACAACCGGTGGGGAAAGGTTAGACAGCCAAGACTTACAGGAAAA